AGTTTATCTACAAGATCGCCTTACCCGGTGCTTTTTTCCTAGAAAAAACAGTGTCAGTAATCACCATGATCCTTTCCCCCTTTTCTCTCATTCTCTCCTGTCCCCCTTCAATTAATTAAAGCCCCACTTTGTGAGACCCTCCCCCTTCTTCAACCTCTCCCCCCACCTTGCCCCATCTGCTCTTCACACCCACCCAGCATCCCACCCTCCCAATTCTCCTCCTCCTCCTTTCCTCTCCTCCCAGCATCACCTGCAGCATCCACGCTCACGCAGCCACAGAGGACTGCGGCGCTAGCAGCAGAGGCTGCCTCCCCCCTTCTCTCTCTCTCTTTCCATACATGGAAAGAATGAGCAGAGGCAAAAGGGAAGCGGTGCTTCCGCTTGCGCAGCTGCTCGTGGTGCACAAGGCAGCAGTATAGTGGCACGTCCGGGGGGGGGGGAGCATGCATTGAGAGGCAGCTGAGGGAGAGTGCTGCAACCTGTTGACTGAGAGTGGCAACTACAGTCCCAAACAAGGGCCTTGTTTTCCTTGCCACTGTCTCAGCCTCCTGCTTTTCACAACCTGAAGTGAAGGACATAAGGCAGGAGTTGATAATGCAGGTGAGCTGTGCACAAGCAAGCTGCCAGCTAGCTCTGCGGAGGCTCCTTTTATTGCCACAGTATGCAAACCCAGGCAGATACATTTTGGGCTGTGACCTTTACACACATTCCAGTCCCAAGATCGTGCGGTGGTACAAAGTTATTTTGGCACCTGTTTCCACAGCTTCATTTTCCCCTTGCACAACGTATGACGAAGGAGACAAAGGTCTCAGAGAGGACACAGCAGACTACTGAGACCGCAAAAGGTTAGATGGAGGGCAAGATGTTCAGACAGCAGTGGCTTTATCTGTAAGGGGGAGCGTGCTCTGCACCCCAAAGTCACACATGCAGGCAGCTGAGGCTGCCCGTGGGCGGGAGTGTGCTCCACAATCCAGTGATCATTCTTACAACAACCCCCTTTTTAAACATGGTTGCTTGTTTGCTCTTCCCACCCTCCATTTACCTTATTGCAAGATTTTTTGGGGGGGAGGGGAAGGTGACAGTACTGTGTACTACTGAGTACCACCAGAAAAAAAGCACGTGTACCCACTCGACTGTTTAGATCTGCGGAATTGGCACAACTACAGGGGCCACATAATATCTGTTCTCAAGTCTGTAAGAACTTTGTAACTCCCTGCCTTTGAGATCACGCAGGCGTCTTCACAGTATTATTTCTGGTGCCTGCTAAAAGCATCCCTGTTTAGACAAGCCTACCAGATGCTTAGAAAGCTGAGGTGATTTTAAACTGTTTTAGTGTTGTAACTTTTGAATTATTTTTTAAAACAATCAGTTGATGTATACATTATGTGAAATAAATGAATAAGCAAAGTTTGCAGTTCTCTGAATTTTCGCATTCCATTTCTCCAGACAAATAAATGTGTACAAAATTCATATACTGGGGTAAACTCCCAGTATGTTTCCAAGCACAATTCAGTGTTGGCGCTGACCTTTAAAGCCCTAAACGGCATCGGCCCAGTATACCTGAAGGAGCATCTCCATCCCCATCGTTCAGCCTGGACACTGAGGTCCAGCTCTGAGGGTCTTCTGGTGGTTCCCTCCCTGTGAGAAGTGAGGTTACAGGGAACCAGGCAGAGGGCCTTCTCAGTAGTGGTGCCTGCCCTGTGGAATGCCCTCCCATCAGATGTCAAAGTAATAAACAACTATCTGACTTTTAGAAGACATCTGAAGGCAGCCCTGTTTAGGGAAGTTTTTAATGTTTGATGTTTTATTCTGTTTTTAATATCCTGTTGGGAGCTGCCCAGAGTGGCTGGGGAAACCCAGCCAGATGGGCAGGGTATATTTTATTTTATTTCTTCTTCTTCTTCTTCTTCTTCTTCTTCTTCTTCTTCTTCTTCTTCTTCTTCTTCAACTGTACATAAAAATGCATATATTTGTGAAAATAATGTCCATACCCCCTAATACAGAGCATACAGGTAAGCATACAGTCCGCAGTAGCTTACCTGACTTAGACTCTGAGATCCTCAGCTCACGTTGTAAAGTACCTGACTTCAGTGCCTTTCAAAAATGTATCCCCTTTGGGAATCAATAGAAAATTGCACTTCTCGAACCATTAGCTTTAAGGCATCATCATTAACTTCTGTTGGCTTCCTCTACAGTAAGTGCTTGGGGGGAGAAGGCCTTCAGCCTGACCTCAATAGATGATGCTTTGTTCTGCGTTCAGTTCTTTTCTCTCTCTCTGCCACCCTGCCCCATTTCTGTAATAGTTCTGTCCCACAATCCCATTCACTATTACATTAATGGCTGGCTCTTCGCTCCTGATAAAATGGAGCACTCTTAATTTAGTGCTGTGGGAGAACGCCGAGTTCGAGCTTGTAACTGCATCAGATTAAAATAATTTCTCTTATTCTCTGGACAATTCTTGGGCAGAGGTTGTGCTGAAATAACTGAGATGCTTAAATTGCTTATGATTGGTTAGTATCGCGCAACCCCTGAAGTCTCAGACAAAAAGCTTCTAGCATGGGGAAAAGTATCGTGTAGCAAGTTATCCATTGACCTTTCTTTGAAGGACTGAGTCACTGCAGCACATTAATGAGAGAGTTGGGGCTTGGTTTCAATGATAAGAAAACAATTATGATTATTCAGAAGCAGCAGAACACTTTCCATTTTATTTTTTCAGAATGTGATGGCATGCTGTAGAGATGGATATTAATATTATAGGGTTGTCAAAGTATTGGAACTCATTCAGAGCTCCACAAACATGTGGAGGGATGGGGGAAATTTAATTCAGCAATCAAAGCCTGCTATTATTGTTATTATTATTATTTATTAAATTTATTAAATTTGCGGGATGCGGGTGGCGCTATGGGTTAAACCACAGAGCCTAGGGCTTGCTGATCAGAAGGTTGGCGGTTCGAATTCCCGCGATGGGGTGAGCTTCCGTTGCTTGGTCCCTGCTCCTGCCAACCTAGCAGTTCGAAAGCATGTCAAAGTGCAAGTAGATAAATAGGTACCGCTCTGGCAGGAAGGTAAATAGCATTTCTGTGTGCTGCTTTGGTTTGCCAGAAGCGGCTTAGTCATGCTGGCTCCCTTGGCCAATAAAGAGAGATGAGCGCCGCAACCCCAGAGTCGTCCGCGGCTGGACCTAATGGTCAGGGGTCCCTTTCCCTTTATTAAATTTGTTAATCTCTTTATCTTGCCCAAGGCTGTCCACAGCAACTTACAACCAACCAACCCCAAACCCCTCACATAGATACAATTAAAACCAAGTGGGAGAAACTACATTAAAAGCACCCCTCCCACTTCTAAAATGCCACAGGTGGTTAAAGGCCAAAGGCCTGGTTATAGAGGAAAGATTTTGCCTGGTGCCTAAAGATATATAATGATGGTGTCAGGCGATCCACCTTGGAGAGAGAATTCCACAAAGAGGGAGCCACCACAGAAAAGGCCTGTTCTCATGCTGCCACCCTGGTAGTAATATCATCATCAAACCTTTTATTGGCATCACATCCAAACATCCAAAACTAATCAATACAGAATTACCACTTCCCCAGTGGCACAAACATTTGCTAAAAGAAAGGAGGCAGAGCAGTCTATCGTCACACCTCTAGGTCTCCAGGGAGATCAGGCGTCTGCAGTGTATTTCGACGACAAAAAACCAAATAGAGATATTTAGCCACTAACTTGGTGAGCTCCTGATCATTCCCCAGTAATAGAAAATGTATGACCTCCAACTCTGGTTTCTATTTGGGGATGCAGAGTTGATCTAGAAATTGCTGACGGAAATCAGCATATAGTTTACAATTAAGAACCATATGTGTAAGGGTTTCCACCAGGTGGTCTTCACATGGGCAAGTTCTTTCTCCTTCCACCCTGCCTGAGAACCTTCCCCAAAGGAGGTTGGATGGATTTGAATTAAACCTGGCCAGTGAAAATTCCCTCCTTTCTTCAGGGTTAAGCAGAAATTCAAGGTAATTGTGGTTAGAACATGTTTTCTGTGCTGCTACTGTTAATTCCTGGCGTTCAATATCCCACAACCTAGTTTTTATTATAGCCTTGGCAGATGGTAGGGACATTGATCGCAAAAGTTCCGCTGCACCTTCTTGTTAAACTATTGTAACCCTGGGGAAAGAAAGGGGTCTAACAAAACTTCACTGAGGAGAGGATCTTTATCTGATGTAAGGTAGATGTTTAACCAGCAGAGAAGAAATCTCGCCCAGGAGGCAGTCTCTGGTAGTAATATGCATTCCACCAGATTACCCTTTCCCAATCTGGTGTTCACATTCTCCAGCTTGCTTTCTTCATCCAAGGGAGAGTTCAGTTGGTAGAGCATGAGACTCAGGGTCAAGGGTTCAAGCCCTACGTTGGGCAAAAAAAAAAAAATATCCTGCTTTGCAGGGGGTTGGACTGGACTCTACTTAGAATCTTCAGATTCTAAGATTTTACGATGTTTTTAACTTCAACCCCGACACAGCTATGGCAGCTGGAGCAGTGGTGGAGGAAGGGGATGCGGGGGGGGGTGAGGTCCACCCCGGGTGTCACCACTGGGGGGGGGGTGAGTGACAAAATGAGTTGTTTTTTTAATAAAAAAATTGGGCTCACGAAACTTTTTAGGAGTGATGTGGTGGCTTAGACGCCTGCAGGTTCTGCACTGCCTGAAACAGCAGTGTGGGAATTGTGTCTGCCTACTGCCTCTCCCTCAGCTGCCCTACAGCTGAGGAGGCGGCAGCGGAGAGGCTCCAAGCCTTGGAGAGGCTCGCCCCACCCCCATGGGTGGATCGCCCTGCCCCTGGCTGCAGGACACCTCCCTGCACCAGGCACCCAAGCGGCTAGCTACGCTGCTGAGCTGGAGCTGCTGAGAGTTGTGGAAGGCTGAAATAAACCCTGAAGTGTTTGCTGTGTTCCTTCCCTGCTTTCCCCTCCCTTTCTGTTGCTCACATGGTATTGTTTCCTGTTCCCCATAGGTTACCAAGATGCTGGCTGTGGTTGTAATCCTCTTTGCATTTTTGTGGATGCCCTACAGGACCCTGGTGGTTATCAACTCTTTCCTGTCTCGCCCTTTCCAAGAAAATTGGTTCCTGCTCTTCTGCAGGATCTGCATTTACCTAAACAGTGCTATCAACCCTGTGATTTACAACCTCATGTCCCAAAAATTCAGAGCAGCCTTCAAGAAACTCTGCAAATGCCAGCAGAAGCAGTCGGAGAAGCCCAACAACTACAGCGTGGCCCTAAACTACAGCGTCATCAAGGAGACAGACCATTTCCACACTGAGCTAGAAGACATCACCGTCACAGACGCTTATCTGTCATCCACCCAAGTGTCTTTCGATGATACCTGTGTGTCTTCTGAGGTAAAGAAGCACTTTGTTGTTGTTTAGTCGTTTAGTCATGTCCAACTCTTCGTGACCCCATGGACCAGAGCATGCCAGGCACTCCTGTCTTCCATTGAAACACTACAAAGCTTTAAATGTGTCCTTCATCTTAAGATCCATGAAAAAGGTGTGACTGCGGAAGGTTTTTTGACAGGGGTAGAATTGATGACTAGAAGCCAAAATTCAGGTCTTTAAAAAAGGGATGGGGATAGTTTGGCACTCCAGGTATTATTGGACTACATCTCCCATTACCCCTCATCCATTGTTTATGCTGGCAGGGTCCAAAGGGCATTGGAATCCAACAATAATTGCATGGCCATAGATTCCCCATCCTTGCTTAACCCAATACACATAGAATAATAGAATTGTAGAGTTGGAAGGGACCCTAGTCCAACCCCCTGCAATGCAGGAATATGCAGTTGTCCCATAAAGGGATGGAACCTGCAACCTTGGCATTATCAGCACCATGCTCTAGCCAACTGAGCTATCCAGGGGGCTGCTAACATCTTTAACAACATTTTGATCCACAGATCACCTTTGTAACTCACATTTCTTCATGATGGAGCTCAGAGCAGTTTTCTGTCCAGATGCTGGCTAGACTTTGTATCAACAAATTGGCTTTCAAAGGAAATTAGATAAAGCATGGAGAATAAAGCTATGGATGACTTGGTGGCTACCTGCCACCTTCAGAATCAGAGGCTACAGGTCTCTGGATACCATTCACTGGGGAATGGCAGAGAAGGATGTCACCCTCCAGTGCTGCTTGTGGGTGTTTCTTAGGCATTGGGTTGGGCATTGAAGGAAATTAGGGTGTTGGACTAGATAGGCCTTTGGCATGATTTGCTCTTACATTTAGTGACCTCAGGAAGTTGATAGGCGCAAATCAGAGACCACAGTCTGTGTCGACAAAGTGACTTCCGCTTGTGCAAAATGCTCTCTGGATCCCACTCATTGTTTATTATTTCATTGGAGCATTTTGAAGTACAGTGGTACCTCGGGTTAAGTACCTAATTCGTTCCAGAGGTCCGTACTTAACCTGAAACTGTTCTTAACCTGAAGCACCACTTTAGCTAATGGGGCCTCCTGGCGCCACTGGAGCGCAATTTCTGTTTTTATCCTGAAGCAAAGTTCTTAACCTGAAGCACTATTTCTGGGTTAGCGGAGTCTGTAACCTGAAGCGTATGTAACCTGAGGTACCACTGTAATGGTCTGTGTTAATCCACTCCAGAGCAATTACAAAAGCCTGGTTGTCAAGTGGCAACAGAAAGAGCTACTTCATGCATCAATTCAGCATTCCTGTGTATTTTATTCTCCTCCTTTTAAAAAAACAAACTGTGAAAGTTGGTCTGTCAAGAGGTAGGACACGATGGGTCGCATTTGCATGACTTGTTTCCCCTCCTTGCTGCACACACCTCTGACATTTCAGGTGACTCATTATTTCAATTTCTCCTTTCAGGTGCTGTGACGTTGGAGCCTGCATCTGCTCTGTCTCTCTTACTTTATTTGATCTCGCAGAGCCACCCAGTTCTGAACCAGTCTGGTTGTTTTCTAGTTATATTTGATGTGATCGAGCTTGATATGACAAATGCTGGCCCTGTTCACACCACAGGGAAGCTGCTTCGTTTCATTAAACTACGCTTGCTGTATGGAAACTAAGAGGCACTTGGCAGAAGTGTGTGCATTGTTACGCATTCCTTTCTAAACCATGCACTATGAAGCGAAAGCTGCCCAACCAATTATCCAGGGCAGGACTCCCCAAACTTGCATCCCGACGTGTTTTTGGACTAGAACTCCCAGGTGGTGAGAGTTGTTAGGATACCCCCATTCCCCTCCCAGAGATACAATACCCAAAATGGCATTTGTTCCTCTTCCTGATGCAGTTGCCCACCCTCTATCCCCCACGATGGCTCACAAGGCACAGCAGTTTTCTGCCCCCTTTTCCCCACAGATGTGTTTCCTGCTGGTGGAAGGAAGCTGTGCATTATGGGTATGGAGCCAGCTCCACACAGGCTCCATATAGATAAGCCTACACATCAACACACTTGGGAGATAATATGGCTGTTCCTTCAGAGTAAGTAACTCAGGGCAAACAGCTCTGCAGGAATGTGTTTGACAGAGAAGCAAACATTTACACTGTAGCAGTAAGCTTCTTTTCCAGGCTTAAAATGTACATAGCAGCAGTGCTCTCTTGGGTTTTAATATACCAGTCTGGCCGACCGCTACTGTTGCTTGCCTCATATGCAACTGCAGTTTAAAATGATTAAACTGTAATTACAGAGGGATCTTGACAGCAAAGTGCGGGGAATAGTTTTTCATTCCATAGCAAATAGTAAAATTAAAATTTCTGAGTAATGTTATATTCAGCTGTATCTTGGATCTCAAACGCCTTGGCTCCCGAACAAATCGGCCCCTGAATGATCAAAACCCAGAAGTGAGTGTTCTGGTTTTTGAAATATTTTTGGAAGCTGAACATGCGACGGGGCTTCCGTGGCTTCCGATTGGCTGCAGGAGCTTCCTGCAGCCAACCGGAAGCCGCACTTTGGTTTCTGAACATTTTGGAATTCAAACAGACTTCTGGAACTGATTCCATTTGACTTCCAAGGTACAACTGTATATATATGTATGCTTCCTCTATGAAGAGGGTTAAAGGACCTGTTATTCTCTTGGCATTCTCACACTAACCCAATTCAAGAATTCACTCTGTGAAATTCAGCTCCCATTCTTCTGGGGCCTCCTTGTCATCTTGGCATTCTGTTTCGTGATTCCCTTCTCCCGTAGCTTCTCTGCATATAGTCCCTTGTCCAAGTATTAGGATAGAACCACTCAACACTCCTTTCTCTTGGTCTTATTTCTGCAGCAGCCTAACTCCTTTCTTTCTTCCCTGCTGAACTATCTGACTCACCCACGATCATTGTCAGCATGCAGCCTACTCTGCCCCAGTCCCACCACGAGGGAGAATCATATCATTGGAAGTTGCACTGGAGGCCATCTAACACAAGAAAAGCCTGCCGGATTGGGCCAAGGGCTCTTCAGCATCCTGTTCTCACAGTGGTCAACTGAATGCCTGTGGGAAGCCTAGAGGCAGGACCTGGGTGCAACAGCACTGTGCCCTCATGTTGTTTCCAGCAATTGGCATTCAGAAACATACTGCTTCTGACCATGGAGGCAGAACACAGCCAAATATAGCCTTATCCTACATGGATTTGTTTAATCCTCTTTTAAAGCCATCCATGTTGGTGGCCACAATGAGAGGAGGATGCTGAACTGGGTGGGCTATTGGTTTGATCCAGCAAGCTCTTAACATTCCATCATTCTGGTACCACAATTTTTCACTAGTTCAGACCATTGCTTCATCTAGCTCAGTATTGTCTACACTGACTGACAGCTAGGGTTTCAGACATGGGTCTGTTCTAGTCCTATCTGGTGAAGCGAAGGATTGAACCTGGGCCCCTTTGCATGCAAAGCATGTTCTCTACCGCTGAGCTACAGTCTGACCCCTGTTTGGTCCCTGAAAAACAGGCCTTGTCTCTTTCCGCACCGCTCAACAGTATTTGTCACCATGGTCAGTCAACGTTTTGTGAATTATCCTTCACCTTCATAATTTTGGATATTTGTGAATATTCCATAGCATGCAGCTAGTTCGCCAATGTTTGGTGGGAGGGTTTGCTTTGATAGCAGTTAGCCATTTTTAGCAGATGGATTTTGCCATAAAATTACAGGCAGAATCCCCTGCCCCCACAGTCTCATTCTCTCTTTGTCATATGCTCTTAAAAAAGGGGGAAGCGATTGATAGTGGAGAAATTGAGAGAACAAGAATCAAAGAGTGAACTTGAATCAGAGACCAGTTTGCACAGCCTCAAAGTAGCATTATTCAGATTATTATTTTTAATATTATTACATTATACTCCGGGCCCTTTGTGACATAGAATATAATTTGGGTTCCAGTGAAATAGACAATACTGAGACGAGAAAGGCAATTTTCCAACAAAAGGCTCCGAGATGTTTTTTTGGGCTGCGGGCCCTTGAGCAGCTTTTAAAATGAAAATTAAATGGCGGAAGCCACTCTTGACTTCCTCTCAACTCAGCCAAAATTAGCTAGCTACAAGCACATTAGCGCAAATACTTATGTGTGCTGTTAACTGTGTGTGTTACGTCAAGAAATAATTGTGCGAAGTGGGACTCAAATGAGCCTGAGAGCAGAATGCCAACCCATTCTCAGACACCAAAAATCACTCACGAGAAATGTTCCAAAGAGAACTGACGATCCTAAATCTTTCTAAAGCAAATATGGGGAACTGGATCTGGAATCATCTACCCCACAGGTCACGGACCAAGTTTAACAGGGTCCACACACCTCACAATTTCTTATGATCCCCCTCCCATAGGTCTTTGCAGAGTGCTTTGCAAAGTGTTCCACAAGACCCGCTTGAGGAGGCAGCACTTTGAAAGGGGCTTCTCTTGAATGCCAAGTCTTGCTAAGCCTCTTTCAAAGTGGTATATAGCTCAGTGCTTCGCAAGGGGCCTGCAAGGTTCAACAAGCTCGCCATTTTGAGAACCTATGTCTGGAAACCAGGATATCTAAGTCGTTACCAGAAATACATGCATACATCCATATAGTGCATTGTTTTGAAAACTTGAATCATATTTTCTATGCGGTGACTTTGCCATATAAATATTACATGGTGAACATTTTTGTTTGAATGTGGCTTGCATATAAGTGGAAACAGAATTAATTAGGTATGCAAAACTGCAGACAACTTTGCATATGAAGCATTACCATAATATCATGATTTATCGCTAGGTGTGCAAAGCTCATTCCGAAGTACAGAAGAATATATTGCCCTTTGAATTTTTTTCCCAACCTGATGTGATTAAATATAACATGCATTTCAAATTCATGAATCTCATTTTCATAGTTCAAGCATTGTGAAAGTGTCTGTTGGAAAACATCTCTGAGCTTGAACTAAATATTTTTATTCTTGTATTTGTGTTTCTGTTGCTGGAATTATGTGTTTTAGTGTGTACAGAATTTTGTAAGGTCTGAAGAAGTGCATTTTACTGCCCGCTTTTTATTTATAATATTGTATATTGTATTGTTTCTAGGAGGAATCATCTGCTCAGTTACTGTTATGAGACCTAATTTTGAGGAAAGTATTTTTGAGTGGTGACTTTGTACTTACTGATCTAGACCAGGGTAGCCAACATAGTGACCACCAGATGTTGCTGGAATACAACTCCAATCATCTGTGACCATTGGCCATGCTGGCTGAGGCTGATGGGATATTGTAGTCCAACAGAATCCAGAGGACACTTCCTGGTTACCTCTGAGCTAGAGAGGATGAAATCAATTTAAGAAAGAACAGTATGGTGATACCTGTTGTCAGTATGCTCAAGTAATGGGAGCTGCATGATGCCAATTTACCTTTCATGGCTCCATGAATACAAAAATTTAAATAAACTTTCTGATGTGGAAAACCACCCGGTGTTTCTCTGATCAGCGATATAAAAAAGACAGCCAAATTCTCGAACGATTCTGCTGATGGCTGGAGTACTTTATCACTGTCAATTAGGGATGTCAGAGAATTGCGACGGAGATGTAAATGGAATCGGAAATCATTGACGTTTGCTTATTCATCTCATGTCTCAAATGGAAATCAATCCAGTGAATATTATCTGCAAACTTTGATGGGTCCCCCCACCTATTTGCATTAAGTTTGCTTTGCCCTTAAATGAACGGCTTTTGCATTGGAATGAACATTGTGGAATAACGTAATAGCAAAGTAATCAATATCACAGATAATTATGAAAAACTCTGCCATAGTGGACAGCAAGATGAATATTGTAGGGTTTTTTTGTTGGAAGCCGAACTACGTTGGAACAGAAACAGCACTACATGAGACAAATGTGCACTGGAACAGGAATCAATGCTTCTTATTTCCATACTGTCAGTGATCTATAATTATATTGCCATTTAGCTTTTGGGATACTTGAGAAATGGGCATTCACAGTGCATTGCTAGGCATGTTGTATTCAGAAGGAAATCCCATTGATTTCAATGGTGCTTATATACAGGGAAAAAACTAAAAATATGTTTGGATTCCAGGAGAACAACCACTGCACAGGCCCCTACTGACTACATACCTACACTACACATAAAGTTATCCTGTTCTCTGGGGAAGGAGGACCATTTTAATGTTAAGAATATTTTCTCCATTTCCGAACCCATTAATTGCTATTTTTCCCCAGATGGCAGTCACATACTGACAGAGAGAGATGCCGCAATTCAACATAGCCTGTCTGATGTGCTACACGATCCTATCACTGATAGTAAATATTCCTAGAGGGTGGGAGAGAAGCGAGAATTGGTTTCCAAATCAGTCACATGGGTAATTCTAGCCAATTAGGAAAGGATTATGTCATATTATATAGCCAAGCTAATAGGGTTACATGGTGATGGCACTCATAGCAAACATATCAATTAAGAGAGGGAGAGTTCCAGGATCAGTCTCACTGATAATTCTAGCCAGTTAGGAATCACATTATGAAAGGATGATGTCACACCGCAACATCTGACTTAGCCACATGAGGAAGTCATTCAAAGTCAACAAACAAATCGAAAGAAACTGCAAGAGTGCTCTTTCTGGATCATCCATATGGAATCATGTAGTGGAATGACAGCATAGCACTACACAATCAGTTTGATGTGCACGGTTACATCATAGATGGCAAAAGAAATGCAATGAGTGCAAGACAGCTAGAAAGGTGAATGTATGCAAACTGGTGAATTGTGAAAAATCATGGAAAGGTAAATCGCTTTTCAACATTCTCCCAAAATGCAGCCAGTAGTTTCAGTTTAGTCCTAATGCATACCTGTACACATTATGAATGCTTCCCACCACTGCTATAGATCTCTTAGCTGATCATTAACAGGATAGAAACTGACTGTTAACAAGGAGGGGAAATTAAAGTGAAAGGACTGTAATGCAGTATCCTGCCTCTATTTGTCCATATCTCACACTGTTACTGCACATGGTGCATAGCACAGCTGGTTGGGTGAAGAAATGCAATCCTAAATTCCTTCAGTGCATCCTGAACAAGAAACAGGCTGTTCATCGACATTCTTGCTCTAGTGAGAAAACACACGCAGAATGTTCTTTGATGGATGCCAGGATTTTATTCTTTGTGACAAGAAGTTTTGTCATGGCTCTAATTAAGAAGCAATCAAATAAATCTCTCTCTATCTCTCTTTGCCACTTTAGCTCCAGAATGAAAATTGCGAGAACTGTGATGAGAACCAAGGCAAAGTTAGACAGCAGGGCCGAGGGCCAAATTTACCCAGCAGTGATCCCTGGTTGGCCCAGGAGGCCATTTCTCACAATCCAAATCCACCTGCCCCACACCCGATGTCATATTTGATGTCACGTATGGGGCAGGTTCCAATGTGGCTA